CCTCCCTCCCGATATTAAAGATTGGTTGCGCTGCCTATGACGGCGGCCGAATAGATAAAAACTTTTGTCGTTTTTGAGGCTTCCGCAATAGCGATGATTTTAGGTCATCATCTCTACACTAAAAATATAGTTAGTTTTTCGTCCCATCAGCCGATCTTTTTAAAAGCGGATAATAATTGGCATCGAGGAATCTGTGCTTCAAAAAGGCGAGCTAGACTCGCGCGCGCCCATTGTGGCGCACTGGTGGTCGCCACCTGGTGCACTGGCTGCAGCCGGTGTCCGGTGGCCATCAATGTCATTAGGCAGCGGCTGCTGATGTCTCCGAGGTCAGGCGGTGAAATGAATCAGTGTGGTTGGCCTCAGTCACTTGTGGGAATAAAGAGCGATAGCTATATAACCGTACTTTTATAGAACTGACAGTTAAAATACAAAAATGGGGAGCGTTGCGTAACAGCTGTGACTCAGACGACAGAAAACACAAGAATAAGAGAGGGGCGACAGACTAACACAAGCCTCAAGCCGAAGTAGATGGAAGTAGCCCATGTAGCGTGTGACGGCTATCATAGACGTTTAAGAATGTGTATGAAAACGGTGCGCTGAACTTGACGGAGCACGTTCTAGTCTGCATGAAGCATAAGCTGGTGATGAACAACCCACTCACGTTGACGGCGAGTTCTGGTGTGAGAAGGCGACCCCCATGTCGTTTTCAAGTTAATAAGGGTAAAGCTTAGCAGAAAACACCACTGAATTGGTGTCAATGGGAGCTCGCCATTGGCACTTGCTTTATGATGTTAGATAGCTAATTGACCCTCTATGGCAGGGTCAAATGTCTCATTTTCTGGAAAACCGCACTTTTCAGCTTTGCATCACCATACCGCGAGTCCCTACTCTGAGGTGAAGCAAATCTCAAATAGGCGTTTCACTTATTTCTTGGTACAATGGCGTATACTTAATGTGTTTTTAACATACATTTACGACATATGGCTCGATTCCGTTCACGTAACAATGTCGGCCTGCCGCGCGAGTTGTGCGTATTGTCTGTTTGCCGCCCGCCCCGCCCGCTCAGGCCGTAGATCTCCGTGTAGTCTTCAACTAAAACTGCCGCCGCTCCGAAATCAGAAAACCTAGAACAACGTTTTTGGTTTCGAAGCACGCGTAATGCGGATCCTCAAATGCTTCCGAAAATTTTCTTTCTTTCCTTTCCTTTCCTTTCTTTCCGAACACAGTAAAAGTCATCATGCAGGCAGTCCACGAAAGTCTTGAATGTTAGTGGAATCTATTACCCACTGATCTCTGTACTGTCCCACCCTCGCCTCTGGCATGTGGCGCTCGTTGCTGCGACCCTGACCTCTGCCTGATCGCACCACGCGGCAACCACACGGAAACTTAATGAACGTCGGGAATGCGTCGAAATTTGGGGTACTCTGAGCAGCCCAGCCACCGCTGCCTGGGCATGACGATCGGGAGGTCAACTTTTTCATAACATGGATGTCAGTGGTAAGGAAGGCAGGCACTTTTGCAACGACAACGCATTCCGTCCCACTGGAGAGTCCCGTTCATGAAAACCGCGAGGGTGGAGCGAGGAGGCGGGCCGCGCGAAGCGTTCGAGTGCCGCCCTGCCCATACCGCACTTCGCGTGACGGCCGCCAGGTTGGCTGGAGTACAGTCGTAGGGGGGGCACAAATATGTGCGTTCCTTTTTCCCGTGATGGGATCTGCGGGGCTGGTGCGAAAAGTCGGAAAATGTCATTCGGCTCGAAACGCAATGTTGCCCCCAAGAGCTGTGAAAAACACCGTGCAACGCATGTCAGAACAAATCTGAAAGCTTTCGCGGGTAGATATCCTTACTCCATCCACGCGCTTTCCGCGGGGCTGTGCCAAAAATCATCCCCAAAACGCTGCCGACTCGTGATCTGCTGGGTGAAGCCCTTATCCACCCTTCTACGCTATTCCTGTGGTTCGATTCCAAATGACCGAAATGTTTCAGGAAAATTCACGCCCACACACGCTATTTTGCACTGATCAGTAGAAAAGTAGTATGAATGGACAAAAACGTGACAAAAAAGACGTAAGCAGCGACAATGGGCAGTAGTTATTGAAGCATCTGCCCAACCTGTTACTCGTTCCATATGGATGCAGATGGATTTGCCCAACCGTCAAGTCCTCTGCTTTTTAAATACTCCGTCCTCCATAGTCTAGCCCACCGCTGTCCTTCCCCCCACCCCCCCCCTGTTGCTGTAATGGTGATGTCCATGCCACGTAGCTGCGCTAATGCCCTTCACTTTCTCTTATCTGTACAGCGTATTTCATTCAAGACCTTACAGTTGTCACACGAAGCTGTCACCGAAGGCATGATTGCGATTGTTTTAGGGCCACTTGCTATCAACTGTCGACATAAATAGATCGTCAGGAGCGTTGTTCAGCATGCATAACGAGCCCTCAAATGCCAAGCCAGGGGGCCTGTTGCACCGGTTGGGGCCCCAAGGGACAATGCGTGCATCTACGTCGGCCAGACGCCACCAACTCTGAATAATCGGATGAAAGGGACCACAAAGAGACGACGGAATGCTCCTCAGTTTGTCTGAGTTCAAGTACCGACGGGGTACTCCCGCCGAACTTCAGGTGGGCTATACCCAAATAACCCGAACTGGGGCTCGTGTGCCAATGGATCCCTTTGAGTCAACGATGGCCCCTGCGTCGATCTGGTGTCAGCTGTTCCGGCCACAGAGCCTGCCGCATCAGGGGGGGGACCGACACAGTGGGCGACGCAGTGTCCCTCTCAGGTTGTCCTGAACGATGTGCTTTTGTTTCGTTTGTTGTGACAGAGGCTAGGTGATGTGTTCTGCGTTCATGGGCGTGGTCCTGTGCTGACCTCGCTGACCCCTGACGCGGCGCTGACGGCGGCGGCTCGGGACGATACGGTCAATCCATGAGCAGCTCCCCCGGCGTGTACTGGCAAGCGTTCCCCGCGTAAAACTGAATATATGGCAGTCTGTTGAACGCAACCAGCAGACACAGCACGACCCCCGCTCTCCCGACTCCACGAGCCCCGTGGAGCCTGACGCACAACAGCCGACCCATGACGCCGTGCCAACAATGCTGAGGTTCACAACACTACAGCTCGCTCCATTACTTCTGCAGTCTGGTAGATATGCGTGCATCAATACTGTGACAGCCGCACCAAACGCAGGCCGCTTTGGCCCAACTGATGACAAACTTTGGCGCAAAAGTGGTTTCGCCGTCAGAATGTCCCAAGCTGCAATGTAAACCACCCAACTTTGTGTGCAAATGGTCCATTTTCCACTTCCATCAATATATCTGGTTGACTTCATTTGCTTATCATGTCACACCCGCGTTGTCTTATCTAGCGCGCATTCCTCATCAGATTTCAGTTAACACGTGCTCGGCTGGCGGGTCGATGTCCTAAGGTGCTTAAAAACTTACTTCCAAACGGTGCGGCCCTGCAGCGCTAAATTTGGTTTAGATGTAGGCAACTGAATAGCCAACCGTTTAGCATGCAAAATTAGACATACTTTTCTAAGTTTGCTGACATGTGGGGGTGGGGCAGAGTCTGGCCATGGCTACTACGTACTTAATTTTTCGGGAATCGCTCAATGGGTTGCGACAGCGTAGTGATAAACGAAATCATAGAACTTTTAGATGGTATGCTAGGCCATAAGATAGTAGAAATTATCATCACTAGTTCCTTGACGTTACATAAGTATGGAGGCAAGATCAAGGTGAAAACCATGCCGCTTTGTTACTGGACAACAGGTTTCATCAGGAAGTTTTAATGCTCATACCAACGTTCGAGATCACGACAAAGCATTTAACATTTCGGCTCCGTGAGGGTCAAGGGGCTACTGCTCTAGACTGACCTAGACATTTCCTTCCTTTGAGGAGCATACCACCCAGAGCAGTACTTGGCACTGATTGTAAATTCGAATGCCAAAATAACCCCCAGGTTCCGGTGATGTTTACCTTCCATAGGTCAAATAAGGCGCAAGATCTCGTAACATTATTGACGTCTAGGCTAACGCTGGTCGTGTGAGGGCACCTGGGGACCCTTCGGTCACCGACCTGGAGTTTAACCTTGATTGGCCCAAAAGCTACGGACTGGGCACCTCAAATGTGAGACGAGGGAGTTCGCATAAACATCTACTTACCCAGTGAATCGGTCGCCTATAGCTCCTAGCTCTCGAAATCACAAGGGGAATTGATTTCCCACCCTTACCTGAAAGCGGAGCATCTAACCGGCGCAAATGCCGGTGTCATTGTGTGGGAACTATTGTATGACAGGTGGTAGCGACACCAACGCTCATCGAAAGTACGCACGAAACGAAATTTTAGCATCTCATCGTTGAAATATGCTCGTATCGGCAGCTTCGCCACAACTTTTCTCGGCACTCTCAACTCCAGCTCACGTTCGGCTGCTGAATATGGATACACATGGTTATATCGGCTGCGGAATATGGATACACAGACGAGAAACATCTCCCAACATCTGGTTATTGGTGTGGACCATGAGACACCGCCGCTTTCCAAGCCTGGACTGCAGATCACAGAACGTAACGGCCGCAGCAGCACGACAGCCGACGACAGGCTTAATACTGATCACGGTCACAATAGATAAACACGGCTGGCGCCCGCTTCGACCGCGATGCCGGGCGCACTGCGATACACGCATCGTCGCACAATGTATGAGCCCCAGCGACAACAGCGACCATTTCCTTCAGGGAAACCAGCCAGCCATGCACGCGTCCAAGACAACGCAACCCACCGCCACTGCCGCGACTAAAGCGCCGCTCAGCTGGTAGCCCTGCTCGGCAAGCATCACACGCCCGGGGCGCGGTTTGCCCCACGGCCGGTGGAATGTGGGGCAGTGAGCGCTCAGTCCGCACGAGGAGCACGCCCACCCGTGGGGCGGGGGGGGGGGGCAGGAGCGCCCGCGTCACATCTCCAGCGTGCCGCCGCGCAAGCCATGAAAGGGCGTAGGCTCCACTAAGCGTGTGTTAAAGCATGAGCGTTCAGACCTCTCCGATAGGCAAATGACGCGCCGCAGGTTTCGCACGAGTACGGCTTTTCACCCGTGTGGGTTCGCTGGTGGGACTTCAGGTGCGATTGCCGCCAAAATGCTTTGCTGCATGTCTCACACGAATAAGGCCTCTCGCCCGTATGAGTCTGAAGGTGGACCTTCAGAGCACTGTGCCGAGAAAACGATTTGTCACAGTAATCGCACTCAAACTGCTTTTCTCCAGTGTGGATGCGAAGGTGCATCTTGAGATTTCGCTGGTACTTAAACGCCTTGCCGCACACAAAGCACGGGTACGGCCGGACTCCCGTGTGGATCCGAGAGTGGACATTGAGCTTGCTCCTGGACACAAACGCCTTGCCGCAAATACCACAGACGAACGGTCTCTCACCAGTGTGGGTGCGGGCGTGCAGATTCAGCTTGCTCTGCGAGGGGAACGCCTTGCCACAGACCTCGCACGCGTACGCCCGCCCGTTGCCGTCGCTGTGGGTCCGAAGGTGGACGTCCAAGTGCGACTGCCGCCAGTACGCCTTGTCGCACAAAGTCGCACGCGTAGGACCTCTCGTCCGTGTGCGTTTCGCACGTGCACCTTCATGTGAGACTGCCGCACGAACGCCTTGCCGCACACGTCGCAGCGGTACGCCCTCTCGCCGGTGTGCGTCCGGAGATGAGCGGTCAGATGCGACTGCCGCAGGAACGCCTTGCCGCACACTTCGCACGGGTACGGTCTCTCGCGCGTGTGCGTTCGGAGGTGGTCCTTCAGAGCCGTCTGCCGGGAGAACGCCTTGCCGCACGTGTCACACTCGAACGGCTTCTCGCCGGTGTGGATCCGCGCGTGGAAGTTCAGCTTGCTCTGCGCCGTGAACGCCTTCCCACACACCTCGCACGCGAACGGCCTCTCGAGCTCGTGCGTCCGGAGGTGGAGCGTCAGGTCGGCTTGGCGCGCGAAGGTCCTGCCGCAGGTATCGCACGCGCACGACCTGCCCTCCGCGTGCTGGCGCACGTGCAGCATCAGGTCGCTGGCGCGCCAGAAGGTCCTCAGGCACACGTCGCACCCGTGCTGCCGGTGCAGCGTGGGCGCCCCGGAATAATCGCTGACGTCATCACCGTCCTGCTGCTTGCATGACCTCGCGCTCTCCTGAAAAGCCGACGTCATCTGCCCGGTGCCCGCCAGGCAGAGCCTCTTCACGTTGGCCTCGCGAGGCGGCTGGGGCGATAAGCCGTGGTCGTGGCCGTTCTTGCCCAGCGGCTGGTGCAGCGGTCCGAAGTAACGAAACGGACAGGGCCGCTTCGGGCCGCCGTAGTTGCAATGGCTGTAGCGCAGGGGCGCAGAACCTGGAATAAAAACGTGCATGGGTTGGTCTGCGGCTCGGACCGGAAACCACTTCTTATGTTGTTGTTTGTTTTGTGTTTGCTTATCTTACGTTTTTGTTTTTCAATTTCTTCTAAAACGTGACTGCGCTAACAAAGAAGCGTAAATCACGCCAGTAATGAGCACACAGATTATTCCACAACTATACCACATCCACCCAAAATCGAATCGGAAAGCTTTCGAGCAAATCAACAAAACAAAAAACATTTGAAAATAGCTAACACTTAAAAGATCGTGTGCGCTGTGCCGCGCGTCGGCCGTTGGGCGCGCACAACTATTGAGGATCGGTGCGACCACACAAATTTTCTCATACTCATTTTGTTTCCCTTCATCTAGCGTGCGTACAACGGATGTGTCACCATGACCAGTTTTTCACAGATTATGGGCGGACGGGAGACTACTAAGATTCGTCGCTCGTAACTGCCTTACTTCACAGGCATCAGTCAGGCATAACTGCCTGATCGCACAGGCGTCAGGGGCACCTGTCGGTGCACAGGTACACCACGTAACCATGGCAACCGAGGTGGTCTCTTAAGAGACCCCCTGATGTAACATCTCGAGTAGGAGGGTAATAAGTGCGTGCTAAAAGCAGCCTTGGGTATCACTTAATTTTCTTCGAAGATTTGACTGTTTCCACAGACGGTGAGTAGTTACTTCTTCTGGTGTCAGGCAAAGCACCGCCCCAATGCTGGAGCCCAGGAGTGGTCCGTATCCGGCCAGCACGCGGGGATACATGAGGCATACAAGTTTGTTCTCGGGGGCAGGCAAACAGCAGTCGAAGAGGTTGTTGCCAGAACTGTTATGATTTGCAGCTTGAAAGGAGCCATTGGCATTAGCAGCATTAAATCACTGTGTAAAAAAATGTTTGCACAGATTAATGCTTACATTGAACATTCACAAAAAGGAACATGTGCACTGTGGTTGTTACTCAATTTGGTGTCAATCATCCATTCCACAAAATAGCACACCTTCTCAGACACCTGACCCATGAGGCATCATTCCCATTTGTCACTATGACAAAGACCCGGCCCCTCCTTCATACGCTCAGCGCTGGCTGGTTCTGAAACCCTCCTCTGGTTCCAGTTTCCAGAATTGAGCCCTGGTGAAGATTAACAGGTCAAGGCCTTGGTCAATGTGGGATGTGAGCAGCAGCGGCCTTAGATGACCCTCTTATTGGTAAAGAATGGTGTTATACCCTTCTCCTCTGCACTCTGTGACTGAGGCCAGCCCCATTAACCTAACTAAAAAACTAAACTAAACTACTAACTAAAAAATACTAAAAAATAGCAACCAAGCTATTCAGTCTTTTAAGCATACACACCAGAGGTAGATGCTCCAGTCAGTGCTGGGGAAATGTTCTTGGACACCTGCCAAGTGATATGCAGCTTCTTGGCATGACAATCTGCACTGCCAGCGCCCAGCAGTTTGGAGTCCTTCTGTGTCTGTTCAGGTCTGTAATGTGATATAAGTGATCAAATTGCTTCCTCAAATTAAGCTATCAGCTTAAGCTAACACATTCAACTTCTGCTGACAACCTGAGTCAGGCAAATAGGACATTAAGGAGCACTGCAAACCATCTCGCATGTGTTACTGACTTTATATCAAACATTTTCAGAGGCAAATTAAAAAGCATGACATATTGAACAACTCTGGGTGGCAGATATGGGGTAATAGCCAGGCATCTGGCTTTAAAGCTGAGTGTGAAGCCAAGACAATGACAGGAGGCCAAACTCAATGCTAGTTTCACACCCATTCCTGCCAGGAAGCATTGCAAGTTGTACAAGAGCCAAGTAATTTGATTTGATCTGCATTGGAATGAACAAGAACAGGTAGAAGCAGTAAGTAATTAACAAGTATCTTCCAACAATCACAGCACATATGCAGATATCAAATTTATCAAAATAAATCATGGCATATATGAATAAAAATTTAGGATACAGCTTGCATAGATATTTCCTTTGCCTTTAATCATATAGCTTGTCCCAGGCATCTCACACACTCACATTCTGATGTCCCCATTCAAGAATCCCGGGATGCTGGATGGCATGTCAAGTGGAGTGCTGCAGGCTGCCTCCAACCGTGCCTCCATTGGGACAAGGGTAGAATTCAAAGATGGTGCTAGTGTTCTTAACACCAGCTGCCAGTGAAAACATACATTTCATAACAAGAAAAAAGAGAACCACTGTCATAGTCAGTCTGCATTGAAAATCCATCCACTGCACCAAATGCTGAAACCCAGATATCAGTGAGCTGAACCTCATGCTTACTTACTTCAAAACTGAGCCCAAAAACATTGTGCTAAAATTACACACCTGATTTTTGGCCACAAATGATAGCGGATAATGTTGCCTACAACCAAACTCGAGACATCCCGATTCCTTAAAAATGACTTTCTAAGCACTTGAATTGGTCTTATGCACTAAGCTCACAACTCGTTGAAACTAAAATCGTATCAAAAATAAAGTAGGGGCTGCGATGCAACCGTTGATACGCTTCACAGTTTAACATGACCACTTCATCTATCCAGAAACTATCCAGTGAAATTTAACAGAAAGTTGAATGGCCGATGAGAAAAATGGTTGGAATTCCTGCACAAGAGGTACGATTCCGAGCAGCACAATAATAAAACCACCCGAGAAACTGCGTCACACACCCTTCCGGAAAATTTGCAAAAACACCGCTATCGAATCATCTTCGCAGTTTTCGCTCCATCTGGAAATACGAGACAGCCAGTAGGAACTAAAACCATGGATATACTCAAGGCGATATACTACTCTGAAGTTGGTAGTCTTTCAGAAACTTACGGGCTGTTTGCATACCAAAATAGCAGCGTGCACAATTGATAACTTGCATGTATGTCAAAAGAACGTAATAGTAGTATTCCGGTGATTCCAATATTCGTCTCAAGATATTTCATTAAGCATTGTGATTTATTGTACAAAAAAATGACTTTTTGAGTTTGGCTTTATTCACGGGTTTGGCTGTATTTACTATGTCACCTGTCCCGAATCTACGGGTTTGGCTGCATTTACTATGGCACCCGCTCCGCACAGCTGGGGATGTAGCGCAGTGGTAGCGCGTTCGCTTTGCATGTGAAAGGCCCCGGGTTCGATCCCCGGCATCTCCACAGTTTTCCTTCCGCACTTTTGGAATTAGTCCTTGTTTTGGTGACTAATTCGAGTACTATTAAGTATTCATTCCTCTTACCTTACCTTACCTCCACATCCGTCATTTTCTTCAGTGCAACTTCCCAGCAAGGAAGTGAACTAAAATTCTGACAAACAAATTTTTACCTTTTCCGTCTAAGCAGTCAAATCGACTCTCATTACGAGATAATTACGAGCGATTCCCATAAGCCGAGATCAGATGAGTTTCCCGCCACATTATGTAAACAAAGTCTCCCAGATGCAATTAACGTAGAAAGGTAATTTTTCAAATTGCGAGAGCTGTAGAAACGGGTTGGAATCAGGTCCAGGTGTATGCGACACGCCGTTGCGGCAACCCGAGACTAACTTGCGTTACCGTAGAACACAGGCGAACCCAGTGGCAAAAGCGTGAGCCCATGTGTGCAGGCTATCATGACCCGTCGTACACAAAGTACAGATCAGCCCGGCTCGGAACGTTTTGTTTTTGTTTTTTTGTTGTTTTTTTTTAGCTGTTGACGCGTTTTAAGTTACCCCCTGGCAGTGGAGAGTTGACGTCTGTCGGCCTGCGCATCCAGTGATGGCTATACTACCATGATCCGGGAAAAAATACTGATTTTAAAACTCAATAATTGCGACTGTGCGCCTTCCTTGGCACTGGCTTCGGACTGCCAGCTGTCATTAAAACCCACTCATCCAAATTTGGTTTCTACTTTTTCTGTCGACTACATATAGCGTTTCACTTAAGCTGGCTGTCCAGCTGGAGCACTGATTCGCAAGGATACAAGCGTCTAATCTGAGATGGTTCTGCTTGTTCACGAAAGGTGCAACCTTGCCGTAACATTGTTGCGGTGGGGACGCTGTCAGGCAGCGATGTAAATCTCGCATTGGCCGACATTACTTTTTTGGTCAAATCACCTTTTAACAACGCCGAGCTAACGGCGAGCTGTCTGCAGATGGAGCCATAATACGCCGTTCGGGGAAATAAGTAGAGTCGAAATGGAAGATAGCGACATGGCGCATTCGACAGAACTGGTGTAGAGATATCAGCTGCCAGTACAACACACTCGTCCTACTTTTGTTCCTTTTTCCATTCGGTAGGTCCCCTAGCAGCGTATCACATAATAGAGCGGTGATTTGAGCAGATATGGCGCTCAACTAAAAATATGTTCTCTTGTGCACGGGAGGTAAAAGCTTATATAAATGGAAGCCATTACCGGTCGCGACACCGTAAATCTCGCATCCGCCAACATGACCTTTCTTGTTCCTATTAGCCCTTGACGGCGCAGAGCTAATGGCGGTCTGCCTGCAAAAAGAGTGGCGGCCATAATACGGGCGGGCTGGGGAAAATACCTACAGTTAATCTGGGGGATTGTTCCTTGGTAAATTCGATAGAACTGGTGCAGGCTATCGGCTTCCATTACAACACACCAATCAGATAAATGTTTCGGTTTGCTTTCAGTCGATTCCCGACAGCGTCTCTTTCAATGCCGGCGGACCAAGTTGAGGAGTGATTTGAAATGATGCGTCGCTGAAATTTAAATCCTTTTACTTGTGCGCGGAAGGTCCCCCTTGCCGTAACGATGTCAGCGTTGAAGTACTATCGGCCGGCACTGAAAGCACTTGCATCAGTAGACATAACAAGTTTTTTTTTAATTACCGCTTCACAGCGCAGACCTAGCGGCGTTTTGCCTGCATGTGCAGTGATTGCCACAATACAGCCGCATGGGAAAATGCTCAGATTTAATGTCATCGATTTCAAATGTGTGCATTCGTTATCGGTGGTATCAGGCTGGCAGTACAGCATACTCGTCCGAGTTTGGTTTCGATTTGTTCGGTCAATCCCCGGCAAAGTAACATTTGATGCTGACGTTCGGATCAGAGCGGAGATTTGCAAGAATACGGCGTCGAATTCGAATTGCTCGTACTTGTGAGCGAGAGGAGCAACTTTCCCGTAATGATATTATGGTGGTGGAACCATAGGTCGAGAATGTAAATTTCGCGTCGGCAGACATGAACTTTTTTGTTCAACTCACGCTTTTATTACGCAGAGCTAACGGCGGCCGGCAGCACGTTAAGTGATGACCGTAACTCGGCGGCTCGGGAAAAATACCTAGGCATGTATATATATATATATATATATATATATATATATATATATATATATGCAAGTATCTATACGTAGGTATTTTTCTCGAGCCAATGAGTTATGGTTATCACTTCACGTGCTGCCGCCCGCCGTTAGCTCTGTGTAGTAAAGGCGTGAGTTGAACAAAAAAGGTCATATCTGCCGACATTAGGCTTACACTCCCAACCTGCAGTTTTCCCACCATATTATCGTTGCGGGAAAGCTGTTCCTCTTGCTCACAAGTACGAGAATTTCGAACAGGACGCCGCATTCTTGCAAATCTGCGCTAACAACGGTTTCCCTACACGCGGAGTAATAAACATAACGCAGAAGCCCGGAGAAAAAACTTCAACTAAACCCAGCGGTTAAAGCCGAGTGCATTTTTTAGCACTGATATCCGCCTATCAGTTCCCAGAACGACACGCTCATCCGCTTCTGGTTTCGAATTTGTTCATCGATCCCTCGACATTACGTAAGTTGTCCAGTGCATTAGCGATGAACATTAGTCGCATAAATATGACAGTAGTATTCGCCTTTTTCATCGGAAAAACCAGGGGAACAGATATATAGTTAGGTTAATATTTTGGCAACATGCCTTTCTCGAAACAATAGCAGAAGTGAATTCAAAATTGCGTGCCGATTATCCTACTCCATTTTGTATTCTTTTTTCGAAAGAGCATGCCGCATTTTTTACAGGATACGAACATTCAGGAGATTACACAAACAGCGATTGCCAGCCATTAACAAGATACGGTATCTATCTAAGGTAGGTAAGGTACAATGCCCGGACATACGTGAACATGCCTTGTTAAATTAACGTTACATCGTTAAAAAATCAAAACTGCGCGTACGCATAGCTTGGAAAAACGACCAGAAGGTTAAAAAGTCTCTGGTGAAATCTTTCATCTCGAAGCCTAAGTGTCCGGATACCAACAGATGCTATTTATGCAGTCCTGGGTTTTAAGGGGTTTGCAAGCAAAAAAAAACGTGATTACGAAACCAAGTGTAAACTGTGTGAAAATGTGGGAGGGACATGGTCTATGTCGGGGAGTCCATGCGTCCTATTTGTTTGAGATATCATGAATACCTGTGAGACGCTGAAAACAAAACAAGGAATACTCCTTTCGGTGACCATTTTTGGCAAATCACGCTCAGGCTGAAATCGAGGAAAGTATGGACCCTATGTCCCTTTTAGAGCTCAAAGTCATCTACAGAGCACAGAACCACCCAGACCAGAAAATAAATGAATCTATTCTTATAAAGGTCGGCGACCAAATCTTAATATACAGGGCTCATCATAGCCAAATGTGCGAAGGTGATATGTGCCTCTATGTGCGATATGTGCTAGCTTAATATCGTTTCCATGTGTAAGTGATGCCTGGCGCGTGATGTGCGATGCCTGTTTAATTGAGATCGTTTGCATGCATAGTTGATGCGCGATTTGTGGTGCCTGTTTACTTCAGCTCGCTTGTATGTTCGAATGAAGCGTGATGGGTGATGTCTATTTGCTTGAATTCGTTTGTGGCTGGCAACCGCTCTTTGTTTAATCCCCTGAATTTTAGTGTTATGTAAAAACTGTGGCTTGCTCTTTCAAAAAACCTGAAAAAAAATCGGGTACGCCCTTCCGGGGCCCCTCAAAGTTTATCTGGCAACACCGCTGTGACGTCACGCGCGCGCTTGGACAAGCCACAACTTTGTACGCCCATAGGAAAGAGTCTTTTTCAAAGGCAGCCTTTGGGCGGATTGAGAGGGTACAGGCGGCTGAAACGCTTTCAGCGTTAGACAAAACGTGTGGTCTCACGTGCGCCAGGTGTGCTTTTAAATCTTAGTGCTTTGGTTTTGAAATGCAAGTCATTTTGCACAGTTGTCGCAACGCTCACCTAGGTGGCGTCACTAGTACCAATGCCTGGTTTATGGGTGCCGCTAGTATTGTTCTTGGGGCTGATACTCATTCAGTTTTCCTGGACACTTGCGTCTTGTTTCTCGAGGCGTTATGCGTGTTGGAATGCAAACTGTGTTGTTGGGTTGCAAATATCTTAACATTTTGCGTGCAAATGTTTTTCCTTTATTTTGTTCGGTCACCAAGGCATATTTTCGACTCACTTGCGCCCGCCATGCTAGTCTAAACGTCACATTCTGTTCGGTCACGGCATTGATTACCATCATGTGTGAGCCTACTAAGTTTGACCTTGAATTGAAAGTTTGATAATCGTCTTGTCTTGACTGACGCTTTAACCCTCCTGAATTGGCTGAATGTTAAGCGCGTGACTACAACATGCGACATTTCGACATTACCATCAACATTAGGTGAGCAAGTTGGTATAAGAACAACTCGTCCGGAAAACCGACGACTCTGCCCATGTCTGAGACACACACACACACACACACACACACACACACACACACACACACACACACACACACACACACACACACACACACACACACACACACACACACACACACACACGCACGCACGCACGCACGCACGCACGCACGCACGCACGCACGCACGCACGCACGCACGCACGCACGCACACACACACACACACACACACACACACACACACACACACACACACACATACACACACACACACACACACACACACACACACACACACACACACACACACACACACGCAGACGGTGCAGGTTCGAGCTGCGATCGACGATCGATATCAATCGCAGCTACTTGAGCCAACTGGAGCGATGAAGGATGTGGGCAGGGCGGCTTTTTTAGAGTGGCGAGTGTGGCCTTTAGTGGCCAGCATTAGCGGCAGCGGCCGGCACACGAGAAAGCTTCTGATAGACCGAAGAGGAAATCTTGCAGGAACGATATTATTGCGGAGGTAATATCATTCGGTTATGTAAATATCACATCGTAAGACATGACCATTTTGTCAAGTCACCCCTGGACAGCTAAAAGCTAGCGGTGGTGTTCCTACGCATAAAGTGGTGGCCAGAATACGGCGGCCCGGGAAAATAATAATGAATCTGGAAGATTGTGACTTTGTGCATTCGAAAATTCCGGTAAAGGATTTCAGCTTCCATTACAAACACAGCTGTTCGATTAAGGCATCCATTTTGTTTGGTCCCCCCCCCCCCCCCCCCCCCCAGAGAGAGTCTCACTTAATGCTGGCGAGACTGCTCCAGCGCCGATTCGGAAAGACCAATTTAACAGGCAGCAGCAGGTGCGCGTAATTTGTGCGCAGCAGGTGCGGCCAGGATTATTTCTTTGTGCCACTGACAAAATTTTGGAAGAGCCCCAATTGACATCTGGAGCCAGTTATATCTGTAACCTTTGGAGAATAAATTCAAAGGCGATTGGCTATATAAATCAAGGATAAACAAAGTGCAACGTGTCATAAACCCCATAAATCTAAAAGTTGGTAGTGAGCTCATTTCATGAGTTTTATTTGCACCCATGTATCACTTGCTGGTCACGCGTAAAGTCCTGGTAGTAATGACGTTGGTCTGGATACACTAGAAGCGATCTTAAGTCGATCAGTTCGTCGGTTCGGTTCAGACTAGGCGTCGCACGTACGAAGGAAGACGAGCACAGGCGAGGTCAGTTGCCGGGTCACGACAGCAAATGGCACGTGACAAATTACACAGACTATTTCACATGCTGGGGCGATACCGTTGATTGACAAAGAGCTTTTGCGGGGTTTAATCCATCCATAAAACACTTCACCGTCTTACTATCAGATTGCGTACTCTTGATTTGAAGTACTACAGTATCCTGATCCGATAATTGATATATTGTTTCATGTTACAACACAGCTAAAACTGCATTGTGTGAACGTCATTTTCATAGTTTCCATAGCAACCAATGTCTAAATTTCTACCCTTTACCATTTGTATCTGGGAAATCTTGACTCCACAGTCCAGAACCGCCGACCAGAAATCCCACACTGGATTACACGGGGCAACAGACGGTGATCGTAGCTCGTGAGCATCGCAGCCCACCGTCTCGGGCACATCTGCTGTTTGCTTTGCGCTCGAGAGGCTCCAGCTCGGATTCCTGCTGTTCCCACGCGTTCGCCGTCTTTGCCTCTTTTCGCGATGATTGCAGTCTTATGCAATATCACTGCGAGTATCAATGTCGAATGGAGTAGTTGCGTGCACAACCCTGCCCAGACAGCAATTCAGGTTTCGGGGGAACGAAGCAGTGTCATGAAGTAGCTAACCATTATCCAAAATTGAACTTCTCGTTCGGTGTAATTCAAGTCGCTTCAAGAAAACTATCTTTTTTGAGAGCTGGGGATCCTTTTCATCCCGCTGATTCTTTGTTGTAATCTATACCCCCAGAGTTGAGTTGGTCTAGCTGGAATGCATTATGAGCCCATTATGTAAAAGATTGCCCCACGCAAGATTCCCTCGCCACCGGCTGAATTATTTATTGTATTAATTCCTATCCAAGGCTGGCATTCAGTCCATCCACGAACATTGCAACATAACAGTCGGAAAGCATAAGTCCGTGAGTGGACTGTGGCACATAAACAACACTGTGTTCAACCCATATCTTGCTTGGTTTTGGGACGCTTTTAGTCCCAGTGATAATGAGCGCGGGCGCCAATAAATAAACGTTATCCTTCATGTATAATCTATAATCATTTAAGTCATGCCACTGGCATGAGCACGTTCCCCTTCATAGACAATTGCAGTCACGTACTGTAGCATCAATAACCAGTGGACCTTGGCTTACGAGCAACAAAGAACATGAAACACAAACAGTTAACAGCTGAAATATATTGCGGCTCGATCGTATGCCCTTCACCCCATCGCTCTGTCTTTCACAAACTTCGAGCGGACAGCTCGTCGACGAGACTCCCGAAGTCTTTGCTGGAGCCGGGCGCTGGTGAGCAAATTGAAAGGGACATTGTAACACCTGAGGCTCTTGGCCAAACGCCAACTCACACCACACCGCGTGTCGGGGCAGAAGATGACGTCGGCGAGGGTTACACAGCAACAGAAACTTAACAGCTCTGCCGAGCACCAATCTCTAGGCGCTACGCGACAGCGGGGGCAACAGAGCATGGAACAAACGTCATGCGTCAGCTGATCAACGCCCGCTGAGGTCCGGGATACGTGTAACAACAGCCGCAGCCCGCCTGCCCACGTCGTAACAGCGCGCGCGGCACACCGCACCAAGCACTCCCTCGCTCGCCGCCGACGCCGGAGCGGCGCACAGCGGCGCACAGCAGCGAGCTTGGCGCAGCTGAAACAGCGTCCACACAGCACAAGGCGCTGCGTCGGAGCGCCGACCAGCCAGACTGCGCCTCGGACTGAAGAGGGCGGGAGGAGCGGGACATGGCGCGCGGCCGGGCGAACCAGCCGACTGCGCCACGGCAGGCTCCTGCGCGGGCCTGCCCCCGCACGGAGCCGCCAGCAGCCGTCATAAGGTGGCGGTGTGGGACGCCCGGTTACGCTCTGTGCACTCGGCGACGGGCAAGCGCTTGCACCTTTTGAAGATGCCAGGTCAAAACTGCTCACCATTTCCAGACACATGGACGCACTTTGCAAAAGACAATGTTATCTCCGTCACCGACATGCGTCAGCATGTCGGTGACGTCACCGACAGACGAGCAGCACAGGGCGCTGGTTTCTGCGGACGCCACAGCCACCCCTCTATCACATCTACGGACCAGCTAGCGCCCGAGGTGCGGGCGGGTGGCCCGGACGGCCGGGCGGCGCCGCTGGCGGCGTCAGCTGACCTCCGGCAGCGGCGCCAGGTCCGGCGCCACGAACCTGCAACGGCAGCAGGCTGGTGAGCGCGCGGAGTCAGCGGCCCGGCGAGTCATCTCTGAGTCGCCGGCAACGCGGCTGAGCCGTGGAGCGCGAAGTCGGGACGCACGAGCGGGTCAACTATTGCGGAAGATCTCCAAACTTGGGTTGGAAATGGCCCCCAACAACCATCGCCTCATAAGGAGTGTCGCTTGATCGATGGGCAATGTGTATGCTTGCCGAGAGTATGTCGCCTGATCAATGCGCTCTACCAATGCGCGGTATTGTCCCGCACAATGCAATCACGTCACCACGAATATGAGCCTCTCCATTTCAAAGAGATATGAATAGCCTTGAACAACAGAATCGGAGCAGGCTTTGGTCCTAAAACAAATCACCTCAGCCCATACGATGATACTTCATAAAAATGGTACCCCTGTGAAGTTCTTTAAAGTTTTACTACACAACTTATCTTATACAAATGAAATCAACCATTTAAGTTTAGTGAACCATTGCATTCACGTTCAAAAATCATCCTTGAATTGTTCGATATATCGAGGGGAAGTGGTTCGACCAAGGCGCAATATAGGCATTGGCCGAACTTCTCCTTGGTCCTTGGTCTAATTCTTCATCAGAATTAGCATACCCCTTCCCCTCCCGCCTCTCTCCCCATCCACATCGCAGCCCTCCAGCCGACGCCCACCTGTGCTTAGCCTCGTCCGTGTCCAGCAGCGCGGCCGAGTAGTGGCGGCCGAGCACGGCCGGGTGCAGCAGGTGCGCGTGCTGACGCCGGAACTGCTCGAACGTGGCAGCCGGTGGCGCCGCCCGCAGCGCCGCCGCCACCAGCCGCACGAAGCAGCACGTCACCGTCTCGTGGTAGCCGCGTGATACGCGCGTCTTGTTCACCGCGTTGTACCGCTGGATGCCCTGTCTGGGGGCGAGACGGGGCGGGGGTAGGCGGCGCAAGGTTGCGGTGCGGGGCGAACACACAGGCCACGCCACGGGAGGAACCAAGACCCTGGAGTTGGCCAACGTTGAAGCAAGCGCCGGACGGACGACACAAATGACAGCATTCGCTGCAGTGCCGGTCACAATCACAGCCATGGTAAAACGCCGCAGCCAGACTACGTTTAAGATACCGGAACCCGCAGTCTGTCAGCGGAGTCAAAGGCGGGACTGGCGGTCCGCACAATGCACGGCAGTCAGAGGCTTTAGAGGCTTTAAGCACCCAGACGACGTAACACGGGTGAAGGAGCCCACGCCCCCGTTGGCGGACTGCAGTGATCTTCAGAACCGGCATGCTTTAGAGTACAGGCCCGGCCCCTGACTTGGTCCCCTGATGCCTGCACCACTGCTCCGCCAAGCCCGTGACGCACTACGCTCACTCTCACGCGGCCCCCGCCGGGCCTGCAGAATAAAACCGCAACGCATTGCCCGGGTGTAACCGATGCAATAACGCTAACCCGAAGTGACTAGCAGGAATTCGTCCCGCGTCACAACAGTCGTCGAAGGTGATAGGAGCCATTACAAGAGCAGAAGGGTCTAGGCTACGTTAACAGGGAGTCATCGCCGACGTTAGCAGCTACAACCCTGACCGCCGAAGAGCCACGCCAGACCAACGCAGTACCCCAAGCCACTCGACACAGCACGCCGCCCAGGCGGGACCAGCCATCACGCCGCGCTCACTTGATCAGGCGCTCCGCCTCCTCCAGCGGGTGACTGCTCAGGTAATTCCAGGCCATGCGCACGTGCGCCTCGTGCGTCCAGTCCTCGAACGGCAGCGTCTGGTGCTCGAACGCCGACATGAACGCCGCGTCCGCCAGGCTGTGGTACGACCTGCGGAGTGTCCCGGCCAGCGGTCCGTGACCCCCGCACGTCCGGGGCTGCTTCTCAGCCGACAACCGCTCTCGTATTCGGCGCGCGCCCCCGCCACACGTCTGCGTGCCTGTGCGTACGTGCGTGCGTGCGCGCGTGAGTGGGTGGGCGCGTGCATGCGTGCGTAAGTGAGCGTGTTGCGTGTAGCATGGCTATCGGCCAATGCGCATCACGTCAGTCTCAGGACGTAGCTGATATCAAGCGGCGGCCCGGGATGTCCCTTCCGCTGTGCGATAATCGAAGCGACGGGGTGCTGCAAGGAATTGCCCGGACTTGGCGCTGGTAACCACGCTCGGATGTGCTCCAGGAGAGCGAGACGTACGTTGTGAAGCTCCCACAACATATACAAGACGCGTTCCTCGAACACATCACAAATCATCAAGATCAGGGCATACACCAATACATAACACTGAACGTGCCCACGAACCCTGCGCCCCGTTCGTTGGTGCCTTACAGGATAGCTGCCACCCCGGGAGGCTTTTCTGTACTGGCGTGGAAACCCATATCGCATTACACACGCGAATTAACCTCACACTAAGGACACGATTCCAAACCCACGTCATCTTACCGCTTGTAGAACACCATGGGGTGGCAGTCCTTAGCAACTGTTGATTCCAAGACTTGGCCATAGATGACAGCATGGTCGCCGACCACATCCGACTTGAAGACGGAACACCGAATACCTAGGGTCAAGCAATGCGCACATTTCTCACGCTGCGGAACGGGCATTTGTCTTCGCATCTGACCTTGGATAGGTCAGCATGCGACATTCGATCACAAACAGCAACGCTTTCGTTCTGAATGCGTCACATATTTTCCGGCACCACACCTCCACACATGAGCGAGACAAAACGTAAGCAGCAGCGTAAGCCGCATTGATCCAAGCACGAGTGGCCCCACAAACAGAAACACCCTGGACGGTTTAGGAGGACTAACATTCCCCAGGTTCAGCATCCGCGCCCCAACAGCCTCCGACGCTGCAACAGCGACGCTAGCCTGTGGCCCGGCGGCTGCGGCTCACGGGCAGAGGAGGCCGACGGAACGGAGACAGCGCAGCGGAACGGGGACAATGGAACGGAACGGAGACGGAGCGGCGGAACGAAGACGGTGCAACGGAACGGAGACGGTGCAATGGAACGGAGACGGTGCAACGGAACAAAGACGGTGCAGTGGAACGGAGACGGCCGATCAGAACGGATACAGGGCAGCGGAATGGGGACAATGGAACGGAACGGAGACGGAGCAGCGGAACGGAGACGGTGCAACGGAACGAAGACGGTGCTGCGGAACGGAGACAGTGCAACGGAACGGAGACGGTGCAACGGAACGAAGACGGTGCAACGGAAGAAAGACGGTGCAACGGAATGGAGACGGCCGGTCGGAACGGATACAGCGCAGCGGAATGGGGACAATGGAACGGAACGGAGACGGTGCAACGGAACGAAGACGGCGCAACGGAAGAAAGACGGTGCAACGGAATGGAGACGGCCGGTCGGAACGGATACAGCGCAGCGGAATGGGGACAATGGAACGGAACGGAGACGGTGGCACCGCGCAGGCTGCAGCCATTTCCGGTTCAACCCCAGCTCAACAGCTTCCGCCTCCAGTATACACAGCGTGCGGGATGCGGGGAGGGGGGTGGGGAGGGGGGGGGCTGCAGCTTGTTCGCCGCCGCGCTAGCACTACGTTCCGCGAAGTTTAAATCACAAACCGGACCGGCGGCCGTGCGTCTGCGACAGAGTACTCGCCGTAGCGCCCCCGGCCACTTCGCACCTGTCCCTGCCCTGTCCCTGCACTGCACCAGCACCGATGCCTTCCGCGCGCCCCGACGGTATCAGTACAGTCACCCGCGCTCCTGTACTGGCATTGCCGCCTTGTCGCGGGGGCGGCGCTGGTGTCCCCGTCCCTGAATGAGCACCACAGTGGGTGCATCTGTGCTGTGACACCGACGCCTCGGTTTATATTCCACCCCAGCTTTATGTAAGAGAACGCCATGCACCTTATCACGTACACTTCTATGTAGCGGCCGCGGCGGTTCTAATGGTGTTCAGGGGCTCTAGCGTAACGAGAGATGTCCCCCCCCCTCACACACAAACACAAATGCTCTAAGCAATAGGTCGTTACGCCCTCTCCTCGCCCCTATTCTGGTCACGCATCTTATTGATTTATTGACTCTAATGACTCTAAGCTGGAATGGTTGGCAATACTTTGTGCTGGGGCAGGCTCCCGCGTCCGTACCGGTGTACACGTCCGTGACCCTGTGCCGGTACAACCGTCTGTGTCTCCGTAGAGGCGCAACTGCAAGTACACTAGCACCAGCACAGCCACCAGTGCCCCTGTGCCGGCACCGTCGCCTGTGTTTCTGCTCCCGCATCGCCGTTCTAACCCCTCCATCTGTGCCGCCGACGCGTCCCTGCACCGGTACCGCCAGATTGCCGCCGTCACCAGGGTGCCTGCACTGACATACGCGCTGCCGTCCCGCAGTGGCGCAGCTACCTCCTCCCGCACGGGTACAACGCTCCGTGCACCCGCCGCCGACGCATCGACGCCGTGCCTACACCAGCCCCACCGTTCTGAGCCAGCCAGAGAGCCGCGACCGCCGCTGTGCGGCCCTGCGACCGTGCTGCCGCCGGCGTACCTGCGGCCACGTCCGGAAGCAGCGGCACGCCGTGCTCGTCGACGGTGTGCGAGATGCCGTCGAACTGGTCCTCGTCGGCCTCCGGCGGCCGTGCGAAGTGCATGCTCTGGCTGACCTGGGGGCGGGGGCGAGGGGGGCGGGGGGTGAGGTACCGCCACTGACTCGGAGCCCAAGTCAACAACGAGTCGTCGGAGTCCGCGCGTCTGTCACTGGTCCCGGCATGGCCCCCTGTGCCACCTCTGCTGGAGAGGGGATCAGATGTTGCTTTTGAGATGGCATTTCAACCAGCTGTGCTGGAACTGGGGGCCTAGGCAGTTTCTTACAGCATCAAAATCATGCATGGCTATAATGATACATATACATCATTCTGGATGCATATCAGAATATATATGGTGTCCAAATGCAATGATCATCTTGTGCTCATCAGCTGGGTCATGCTAAGGGTGGTATAAACGCACCTGCGCCTCGGCCAGCACGTGCACGTTGAACCGGCCAGTGGCCAGCACCAGGCGCAGGAAGCGGCTGGGCTGGCGCAGGCAGACGCTGACCAGCGGCGGGTGCGCCGACACGCTGGTGAAGCTGGTGCAGGTGAAGCCGCGCCGCGGCCCGGCCGGGCCCGGGGCGGCCGCCGTCACCACCACCACTGCGGCCAAGCCGGGAGTGACGTCACTGCCGGCGCTCGGCGTGCGCCGCGGAGCAGGCCACCGAGTCGTGGCGAGCAGGCAAGGGATCCCTACACCGGCCCAAAAATCTACAACCAAGCCCTTGCCTTAGAACACATAATCTTATATTTGTGGTGCTGCAAAGGCAAAACACAAAAGGCTTCATGATGACATGCATGCTGGTCAAATCAATGTACATGAGCATGTAACATGGGAACATGTAGCCTTAGATCATTATCATTAGATCACATCATCACAGCCAGAGTTCTGACTGTATGCCATGCTGCAGTCAGCTCAGAATAGGCCTGAACATAGCTTGAACATGACAACCATAGCTTGTGGATGGAATTATCACAAGCTTGTCAGAGCTTGCTGATGGCATTACTGTGTTGTTAGAGGACATCAGTGCCCACACCAAATAGATCTCACTTAAAACATGCACAAATAATACCATGTTATATGTCATTACTCTCCTGAAGATGTAAAGGATGCTGTGACACTGTTTCTTGATCTGAATGTCATGACATTACTGGTCTGCCTCCTTCGATGAAAACACACCCGGAGCAGGCACTTCCCGCATCACACCCAGAAACTGCAGCTTTTTCTCATCCTCTGCAGCAGATGGCGCAGTTGACTGTCTCCGCAGCTCTGGAATTAACAGCACATGAGAGCTGACAAAATAAAAGCAAGTAACCATGTGAACAATGTTATTCATAACATCCATTTGATATGGAACTGAGCTTGGCCTTTACCATTACAATTCATAGACCATAAGGTCCCTTTAACATAAAAAAATCAAGTTTGACCTTCCCAAAACAGACTTGATGGTCATTGAAGGAAATCATGTTACCATGCGCTTGGGCAGGGGCATAGTTTCCTATTCAGTTGGGGAGAGAGGAGTGCTCTGGCCACATCAGCTTTAGGAGTGCGGGTCAGATTCCAGGAGAAAGTGACTGGTGAAGTAGTGTTGGGTATGTTCAGCTATTTCTACAGCTCGGCCCACATGTATTTGGCAAATATACAATCCTGCCCCCATCTTCCTTTGATCATCCACATAAATCAACACTTTTGCACGGGCTTGTGCGATACAGTGCCCCAAACCAGATGAAAATTTAATTTTAGGGCAGGATAAGTCCAAAGTTAAACCTGCTCCAAACAGAGCTGCTTGCTGCCCTTCTTGAGGCAGGAATGAGACAACCCCAATGATCTCATCCATATCCCACCCAGCACAAACCACCAACATCACAGTCCTGCTAGGTTTGTAGACTGCATATGTTTTCAGGCACTTAATTACTCCCATATCTTGCAAAATTACAGTTTATGGAAATTGTCTCCATTTCTGGACACATTTTACATGAAATGACCTCCAGCATATGCATTAGTTCTGAGGTAGTTTGCTGCTTGCCAGCACATAACTAGCCCCGCATTGATAGCATACATCACCACCATCTGGGGCTGTTTGTCATAAAGCAGCAACAAAGGGCTCTTCATAACATCACATGATGTTTTGCATTACAAAATTGTGATGAATTTTATGTCATGTCAGAACATGTCATGTAATTTTCATTGGTATCCAGTTTCCATGTGCTGTGTGAATGTCAGATTGGTCAAGACAAACCCTTACCATTCCTGGGAAGTATGTGACTGGCCCTGCCCAGGTTGTAGCTTAATTTCAGGATGCTTCTCGTACTGCAGTTCATGATGGGCCTGTGAAAATAGAAGATAGTGAGTTCTTGTCAAGAAGTTATGCTCCGGCAAACATCCAATATGAGAACACCGCAACAAATATGAAATAAACATCGACAAGCATTGCAACTGAGGTTCATCCCATATCTTGTAGACAACCAATATAGACTACAGATATAGCTCCTAGCTCATGCATGCAGACAGCTACCCCGCCGCAGTGTTCTACTGCCCTGTTTGGTTACAGATCACAACTGACAACGTAGTAACTCTGCCTGTGACGCTACTCCTTTACACTATTGCCCTGCTGTTACACAGCATCAGCATAGGCATTCCCAGGCTTCACGTGGAATCGAACGAATCGGTAGAAGTTCGTGCAGCAGAAGTTGGACCACGTTCAGCCCAGATTCAACTTCGCCTAGATTTGGCAGGAAAACGTAGAAAATTCCCTTTACGGGTCAACAACTCCTCTGCGAGGTCTAAAGGCGGGCGAAACAGGCGAAACATTTCCCTAACGAGAGAATCATTTCCTGAGATCTCTGCCTGATCCAAAGAAAGCAATGCGCAGAAAATCAGCCATCTTTGTTCTTCCCGACTGCTCAGTTGGTTAGGGTGCCTGCCTTCCGATTCAGCCGCTCTTCGCGGGGTGAGTTCGAGTCGTTTTAGGCACTCGCTGTTTGCTCTTGACAGATATGGCGTGCGACTGGTAGCAGCGGTCGCGATCAAGGTTGAATGACGTCAGAGGGCAGGAGGATCATACCGAGCGTTGCGACACGTTAAGCTGTCGCCATCAAATTCTGTCGTTTACATGGAATTGCACGATCGGGTGGTAGGGGCCGGGGCTTCCGCTACAAGCAGTGCTTAGGGTGAGCTCTGATCCCAGAAATCCATCGATTCAAATGGCTTGGATTAAATCGTTTTAAAAAAAATCGTGTCCACCGGGAAAGTAATCGATCATCCCAAAATTCATGTTTGTAGGACGCCTATTTATCTATCCGATTTTCTACACCAGAGAGTAGTAGACCAGTCCCCATTAATCTGGCTGAGTGACCCTATAGGCCATTGATATTAACGGTGTCAAACTCCTTAAAACACATAAATAACATATTTTTCACTCACTTAACAGCAAGCATGGGCCAAGCTGTATGTCGCATGAGACCACTTCACAACTCAAATACAAACGTGCAAACAAAAGCCGTCAATCTTATGTATGGTAAAAGCTATAGACCATCGACATTGTCTATATAGGGCGGCCCACGCGATTTTCTTCGAAACTATCCCATCCAGTTGTCGACCGTTGCTCATCAGTCTGGCTGAAGAAAACTAATGGGCAAGACAGGACAGACAAGAATGGAATTTAATTGTTCGGACTATCGGCCTCGTCCGTTGTGGCGGCGCGCGGCGCATCTGTCTGTCACGGGCCACATGCCGCGTTTTCAAGGTGCGAGTGCGGTTCCTTGTTACGCTTGGCCCGGGTGGTCGCTTCGCACATGCACGTCGGAACGATCAATAGGGGACGGTCCCTTTAAATACACCGACCCCATCAGGGACAGGGTCGCTTGATATACACTCAGACGGACATTCAGACACTGACGATGTTGAGACACCCTGCCGGCCTGGCCGCCGACGGCTGGGCGATTGGCACCTACGCCTCTAAAAAATGTAATTCCACCGAGGAATCACCGGACTTTCGGCAGTTTTCTGAGATCCAGGCCCGTTCTGCTTTTTGTTTTATATTACCACGCATTGTCTTGCACTCTTTTAGTGCTTTTAGCGTATTGTCCTAGCATGCATACCCATGATGTGAATGTGTCGCCATAATGTACGGTGTCAAATCACGTGCTGACCACTGTCTGGTGTTCCTCCGTGTGGTTCAATGAATTGGTCTTGGGAAAATGCAAAGGTGAAGAATGTGCAGCCTCAGTTATTTTGATAAGTTAGGACGCGTCGTAATCAGGCCCATGTTTCCACGTCAACATCAGTATCTTATAATGCATATATCTTGGGTATGACTGAAGATTTCTCACGAGTTCAATCAAATGTTTGTTTTTTGTTGTTGTTGTCATGAGCTAAATACGTCACAAATATTTCACTCGATAACTCCTCGCGGGTAGCAACAGATGAGGGCCTAAGCGTCACAAACGCAAGAGCTCCCCGCGGGTAGCGATGGAGAAAGTCCAGCGCAGTATGTGGGTAGTTGTCATAGCCATAGTCTGAAAGTCCCACTTCCTAAATATATTTGGGAGTTGGCTGTTGATCGATCTCTCTGTGACTCACAGATGAGACAGACAGGTGAGACGCATCTTTACATGTCGCTGGCTGTTCGTAACAGTAGCAGTTGCACGTGCCCAGCAACTTCCGAAAGGTGAAAGTCGGAGAAGAATGTTGGATTTCAAGTATTAACAGCGTCATCTTGCGGGGAAGAAGAGCAATTCACGTTGATTGATTCTTCCGTCGGTGGATTACCTCAGGGCCACAGAACGAAGTTTTCTAAGATGACCATGAGTAACTGACCTTTGGCACCGGCAGCGAATTCCGTCACTGCTGTCGGCACCGTTGTTAGAACCATTTCAGCGACTCCAAAAGGCGAGGTTCGCACATATTGTTTGCCGATGAAAGATCCCGGCGAGCCGATGACTGATTCCGGCAATAAATTGCTGTGAGCTGTTGGGCAATTTCGGCGAGCCGTTGAGAAATGCCTGTGAGCCGTTGAGTGATTTTGGCAACTAAGCATTGCGAGTCGATGAGGAGTTCCGGCAGGCCGATAAATGATGAGGTGCGAGATATAAGGCGACGATCCCGGCGGCCGTTTATAGGCCGATGTGAAGTAATGTAGGCCGATGTGAAGTAATTTAGGCCGATGCGAAATTCCGAAGAGCCAACGGGTGATTCCTTCATTTTTTCCTCCTTCATTCCTTCACGGGTGATTCCTGCATAGTTTAGAGAGTGGGGGCTACGTGGTGATGCCGCGGTGAGCCTGACACCAGGGGGCTTGTATTTACTGGGGATAAATTCCGAGGTTTCGTAGTATGGCTGTACTGTTGCGCCCATAATTCAGTGGTCTGCTCGCCGCACATAACCTGCAGACTGTGTGTAGCCATCCTGCAGACTGTGTGTAGCCATCACACAGTCTGCAGGTCTTCCCTTTTATATGGTCGGTAAACAAAAATGAATAGATGGTGTGAATGTGTGAACACTGGTGGCGAAATCCCTGTAAAGTGACGTTCGCTCTCCAACATATGGGGGCGAAAACGTCTTTTCCGTAAAACCCCCACAGATTGCTGCTGCATAAAATTAATGTGTGCAATACAATAAGGAATGCAAAGAAACCAGATGCTGTCAATAATGGCAAGGTTTGGTGCGAATATACGTAACTTGGAACATACGTACAGAAACTTTGCCCAACTTTTTAAGTCAGCCCCGGAGCTTGCTACTGTTATGCAAGTTGGACTTCGGGAATCTCGTAATTGCCGTTCTTCCGTTCGTTCGTGTTCGTACAAACGGTCGCATACGACGTTTACCTGCGTGATCTGTGTCTAGACTATGTGTGTCACGTGAAAGTCTCCCGACAAGTATTCTGTCACACAAACTGTTCCTATAGCAGCTTTTTGCATTGTAAACTTTTCACACGACGAACTCTTTGCCATACGTACGTTGTTCTCGCGAACTGAAGCCTACAAAATGTATCCTAGAAGTGATTTTTATGCGATCTTTTTCCATGCGTGCTTTTGGCATTTTTTTCGGTGCCGTTACCCAAGAACAGGTGAGCAGGAGTGCCCCTCCTATAATCCCATCGACGTAATAAACCGTACGTTAACACCAGAAAACATAAAATCAAGTCGCAGCACTCCCAGCTAGGAAGATGAAACAAACGTAAAGAAGCAGGCGAAGATGTGGTGCTGGGAATTGATGTGGATGAAGTGCTGGGAATTGTGCTGGGAAGTGTGCTGGGAATTGATGTGGATATTGATGAAGATGTGGTGCCGAAGGAATTGTGTTATGCAACAGGCAAGGAAAAATCATACATGAGAAGGCTTAAAGTAGTCATTAGCCAAAGTCAGCTAATGACAGCCCGCTATAACCGCCCAATAAGCTAAAACCACTCAATTCACCGTGTTAGTAAGGGTTGTACAGTCACACAAGTCGGAGGGGGCAATTATCTGGTCATTTTCGTACTGGGTTTTGAGCTGGATGTTCAGGGAGTCCAACCAGCCAAGCGGAGCTTGTTGCTGGGAGAACTCCCGGAGCCAGCGCCATGAATTTGGGTACATGGGCATGACTTTAACCATATCAGAACGTGATTATGAAACATGAAGGAGGTTAAATATGAAGTGCTTTGGATATGTGTAGCGCAAAGGATTGCAATATCTTCGGATATGTTGGTTACGTTATATATATATATATATATATATATATATATATATATATATATATATATGTAACGTGCCGGTTACGTTACGCTGGTTACGTTAATATGTATTCACGAAATGATTGTCCTTATACCAATCAACACCGTGATTGGATATAATTGCCGGATGACGCTTGAGGCAGCACACCAAGGTGTTGCATCTGCTTGTGGACAAAAACGAGTATAGAAAAGTTCGTATGGCAGTTGTTTGCAAAGTACAAGTTTGCGTGTCTTAAGTTAGTCAGGATAAGCTTACGTACGGTCATAGGCGCAGGAGCGTTTCAAAAAGTGTGGGGGGGGGGCAAGCTCAGGGTGTCCTTCAGGAACTTTTTTTGGAAAGCGAGCCCGATGACCGGTGGAGGGGGGGGGGGGTAGGGATGGAAGTTGTTATCGCTCTTTATTTACATTTCATGGCTGCTATGCTAAATATGCATCTAGAGCTGTTTATCACTGGTGCACAATCTTGCCTATTCGACTCATGTCATTTGGTTAATAGTGCTATCCAGCTTCCCTAGATTGTTCTTCCATTTTAACATTGTCTTTCCTGGGGAGGCGAAATTCCACGAGCGGGTAGACACTTTGGATCATAAAGGAAGCATCTGCCTCCACAGTGTAGATGCCCAAATACGGTCTGGATATAGGCTGGTGAGAATTTTGAAAGTGAATCGATGGCTCACAGCGCGACAGATTTTTCATGCGCCTTCATTTCGCTGGCTGCTTTTCAAGAGATAAGATTTAACGCAGCATTTTAGGCGGGAACAAATTCGGGAGCTTGAAAACTGCTAGAAACAATATGACAAAAGCCATAAACATGGGGATTCACTTTTAAGAATCAAGCCATATAATAGCGCCCATCTGTGATGCGTTCCTTATCTAGGCCCTGCTCCCGTCCGCCGTCGGTGGCCACTGCCCCGTCCCGGATGCCTCCCGCGTGACTGACTGCG